ATTGTTGACCCTTCATCGCAGAGTCTGGGTTCGATACTGTGGCGGTGAGCAGCAGATTTTTATGGAAAAGGTATACAAGTCGAGATTTCTATTCATCCGGGTGAAAAAAAAATGTACAGAGATCTCTGACCCAATTATTGGTGGCTCTGCATGAAGCGGGATTTGGCTTGGTACGTGGAGAGGTGCTTGACTTGCAGGAAAGTCAATGCCGAGCACCAGCGACCTCACGGGAAAATGGAGCTGTTGGGTATTCCCGTTTGGGAATGGGAAGAGATCACGATGGACTTCATTATGAAGTTGCCACGTACAGGGCGGGGAGTGGATTCGATTTGGGTCGTTGTGGCCCGATTAACCAAGAGCGCTCATTTTATTCCCGTTTAGGAAAGCATATCTTTGGAGAAGTTGGCAGCCATTTATATCTGAGAGGTGGTGGCACGACTTGGGGTTCCAGTATCAGTGGTTTCAGATCGGGATGTTCGGTTCACCCTAGGTTTTGGAAGAGGATCCATAAGAAGTTGGGTACTCGGTTACACTTCAGCACGATTTTCACCCTCAGAACGATGGTCAGAGCGAGCGGACTATCCATACCTTGGAGGATATGCTTCGGGCATGTGTGCTGGATTTTGGTGGTAGCTGGGATATGTATCTCCCATTGGTTGAGTTCTCTTACAACAACAGCTACCACTCCAACATTGATCAAACTCCTTTTGAGATGCTCTATGGGAGGAAGTGTTGGACCTCGATTTGTTAGGGCGAGGTCAGTCAGCGAATCATGGGTAGCATAGAGGTCGTACTCTGGGCTACTGAGTTGATCCAATAGGTACGCGAAAGGTTGCAGACTGCGCAGAACTGCCAGAAAATTTATGCTGATAGGCGGTGGTCAGATTTAGAATTTCAGGTCAGGGATATGGTATTCCTGAAGGTGTCACCGTGGAAAGGTGTCATCCGATTCAGGAATAAGGGAAAGTTGGGCCCCATGTATATTGGACCTTTCAGGGTGGTTGCCCAGTTGGGCAGGTTTGTGTATCGTTTGGATCTGCCCAAGGACCTGAGTCATATCCACAATACGTTTCACGTCTCTCAGTTGCGAAAGTGTTTGGTTGATGATTATGCAGTGGTCCCTTTGGAAGACATTCAGGTGGACGAGCGCCTAAATTATATAGAGAGACCGGTTGCCATCCTTGACAGGAAAATGAAGACCTCGTGTAGCAAGGTTGTGAGCTTGGTGAAGGTGCAGTGGCAGCACCGCAAGGGTCCAGAGTGTACATGGGATCCCGATGAGGAGATGAGGGAGCATTACCCTGAGTTGTTTTCGATGGCAGACTTTGAGGATAAAGTCTGATTCAAGTGGGGGAGAGTTGTAACACCCGTTTCAGGTATGAGTCAATTCATTTAAATTTCAGAAATTTATTGTAACATCCCGACTCCTATGTATAATATTTAATTATATTATATTCATTTTGTTAGGGCAAATCGACGAGTTGGAGGCCCCAACTCGCCAAGTAGAGATGGAGATACCCGCATGATTTTTAGAGTCTACTCGACGAGTTGGAGGACCCCAACTCGACGAGTGGGAGCTGAGTATGAAAAACCTAATTTTCAGGGTTTGTGCCCTATTTAAAGGACCTTAACCCTTTCATTTCCGCCTCCCTTATCAATTTAGCACCCTGAGAGAAACCCTAAACGAGCTGGTATCATCTGTGTGTGAGAGAGAGAGAGGCTAAAAGTGTGTGATTTGGTGCATTCTTGGAAGGAGATAGAAGAGCAAAAGGCTTGGAATAAGAAGAAGCCCTTGGATCCAGTGTTCTTTCAGTGCTAGCTGCTATTTTGAGGTAAAAAGCTATCACCTTGATCATTGTTTGGTTAGATCTCTTCACTAGGGAGTTTGTGGCAATTTCCATCTCCTCTTTGAGTATTTAAGTCGTTTGAGCATGACATGAAGTTGAAACTTCAGATCTGGACAGTATGAGGTCCCTTGGGCCTAAAGATTTAAGCTTTATCAAGCTATTGGCCAAGTTTCATACATTAAACCCTCTATAGAGCTTTGTTTTGGCATTTTGAGCCCTAGGTGCCATGCATGGACGTAAAGCTTGCATCTTTACGTGATACTTCAGTCTTAGAAGGCTAGATCTAGAGTATAGGGCCTTAGTTTTGCTTAAAATCATTTGAATGAGAAAATGGACCGAAGGGACTCAACGAGTTGATGAGCCAACTCGACGAGTCGGTTAGGGTTTTCCCTTATAGTCTGGACACGTGCAACCTCGACGAGTTGATGAGACAACTCGGCGAGTTGAGTTGGAGTTTTCCCGATTTTCTAAGAACAGGAGGAACTCGACGAGTCGCATAGATGCACTCGGTGAGTTTGGTCAACATGGACTGTTGACTCGAGTGTTGACTTCCGTTGACTTTTAGGGTTTGGTCAAGTTATGGATATGGAGACCATGGAGGGGTAAATTGGTCTTTCACCCTTTCCAGGAGTTAGAAAAGGGATTAGCTTAACATCTTTAGTGTGGTTGTTATAAAGTGTTAATTAGAGATGATTATGACATGTAGGCGGAGTCTAGACCGATCGTGGATTATGAGACATACTTGCTTTGCTTACGAGGTGAGTCTTCTTACTATACTTACCTGAGTGGTAATACGGTGTGACCAAATGGTCTTATTTGAGTTACTGACCGGAGGGTCTTATGTGCTTATACTGAGTTATGTGATATCATCATTTTGTCTTTGTGATTTATGATGTACATTATTTATGTGCTTTATTGAGCTAGGACCGGAGGGTCCAAACCGAGTTGTGAGACCGAAGGGTCTTCACTGAGATACCGGACTGGAGGGTCCGACCCGGGTTGTGAGACCGGAGGGTCCTCACTAAGACACATGACCGGAGGGTCCTTATTGAGATATAGCCATGAGAGGCTAATTATTGTGCCTGGTATTTTGGGGAACTCACTAAGCTTCATGCTTACAGTGTTGTGTGATATGTGTTTCAGGTACCTCTCAGGATCGCAGGAAGGCGCCGACTTGATTGTACACACCAGCTCGAGATTATGTTTTGAGGATTCTGGGAAATTGTCAAACATTTTGTTGTTTTATGTTTTGAACAACTTATACATTGGGTTTTGAGAAATGTGAGATTGTGTTTTATATGGTTTTAAAAATGAAAAATTTGTTTGGAAATTTAGAGCGTTACATTTATTCTTGGGCTGCCACGATGTGGTGGAACTTCATCACGATGTGACATTACTTTTTTGACTGTGGGTTTAATTGACTCTCCACGATGTGGCAATGGGTTCCACGGCGTGACATCTGATTGTAGAGAAACTCTAATCCCTAGGCTTTGGCCCTATATAAAGGACATAATGGTTAGGGTTTCGGCCTCCATCACCCTCTCAACACCTGAAAATCGTAACCCTAGCCTCCCTTGTGTGACATTGAGATTTTTGTGGTGTTTGGTTGCATTTTGAAGGAAGGAAAAGAAGATGCTAGCCCAAAGATCAACCAACAACTCCTCCCTATCCTTGAAATCACTCTTTGGACCATTAGTAAGTCCTCAAGTATCCATTTTTATGATTTTATGGTTGTAGATCTAGCTTTATTAGCTTATTTTGGTCCACAACTGATGTTTGGTTGATTTGATGTGATAAAGGTTGCAACTTTATGACTCTCCTGAGTCCCATGAGCAATATATCTTGTGGATCTGGATTTTGGTTGAGATATTTAGCCTTGCATGAGTTTTGGTCACCTTTTTGCTCATTTTGACCCAAAATGGAATCTAGACATGCATTGGACATGCATGTCTATAAACCACCCAACTTTATGCTATATCTAGTATTTGAAACCCTTTTGGAGTTGGTTTGGCTATGGACTTTGAGGAAAAGTGCTTAATGGTTAACCATGTCACCCGTTTTGCCCTTATTAGACCTTGGTTTGGAGATCTTGTCTTATTAAAGTGTCTTAATGGGTAAAATTGGAAACTTTATCCATTAAGGCGTTGAGAATGAGTGGATCAAGATTTTTTAGCCTTTGATTTTGAGTTAAAATCAGCATAAATTGATTAAGATAATCATACTGCTCACCATGACATGACGCTATGCCACCACAACATGGCGAGTAAGGGATCATTCGATTGTTTTGTCATCTTGTGCCCACGCCGTGGCCAAGGAAGACCACAACATGGAGGCCAACTGTGTTTGACTTCGACTTTGATTTGGGTTGACTTTTGGCCAACCCCTTAGCTTTGGAACGTAGACTAAGAGTTAACTTGTATGACTATCTAGGTGTGGTGTATCACTTGTCTTGACTAGCAATGAGAGCAGAAGCAGTTGATTGTCGTCTGAGAGGTGAGTTCCTTCACTATACTCGTGGGTCGAAGGCATCAATGCCGGCCCACAATATTATGTTTATAGGATGATAGTTGTCTTTGTGACACTTACTGTAGGGGAAATAGACCCGATACCGGTTGAAAGAGACCGAATAGGGTGAAATAGACCCAGTACCAGTTGAAAGAGACCGAAGGAGGTGAAATAGACCAAGTACCGGTTGAAAGAGACTGAAATGGGGTGAAATAGATCCAGTACCGATTGAAAGACACCGAAAGGGGGTGAAATAAACCCAATTATGTTTTTATTGTTATGTATGTATTGTATGGGGTATTTTGGATAAACTCACTAAGATTTGTGCTTACAACTTTATGTTTATGGTTTCAGGTACTTCTAGTTCGAAAGGAAAGGATCTGACATGATCGCACTGCATCCACAAACATTCTGCATTTTATGACATGATTTGTACTCTGATAAGTATTTTATACATTATCATGATTGATGGGTTTGAAATGAATGAATTATGTTTCTTTTGACTTTTAAAAATGAAAACTTAGTTAGTATATTTTGGGACGTTACATTATGCAACAATCTTCAATTGTTTTTCCAATTTATTAAACATTTTTTTATTAATTTATGCAAACAATTGAATAAGCATCCAACCGTCACAGAGTGCAGAAGATGACATCTAACACTGACCAAAGTCCGGCTGCCCCAATAGAAAAAATGCCACAAGATCCGGTGAAGAAAGATATGATGAGTACGCTCCTTAATCTGATACAACAACATCGTCACAGTAAGAAGCAGCTAGAAATCCCGCATCAACAGATCCTTTAAGACCTCCAACTAAGAGTGTAACAATCGGTTTCGAATCTCTACATTATTTGGGGCTGTGGCCCGATCATCAATTATCATAAGGCTTAGGGCCTTGGGGAAGAAAGGATTTGGCCCTTTTTGGATGAGGGTGTTCAATTCTAAGTGATCTGAGATTTCGATGGTGTTTCGGAGCCCAAAGGTATAATCGTAATTTGATAACTCAACCCTTTATGAATTTTGGGTTTTTTGGTTCGGGAAGTTTTAAGGCTAAGGTGATTTGTTAGAAGTGTAGGGCTTCTCGTCACCTTTCTGTGGAAATAAAGTTCGTCGGAAATGGACTTAGGACGAAGTATTTAGGGCCAAATGAAGTTTTTGGGTTTTAGAGGTTCGATGAGTACGTGGGGCATACTCGTCATGTACGTGGGGCGTAATGGTTAAGTTGGTCGCGGGTGGTCTTTGAGTACGTCGAGCGTACTAAGGGGTACGCAGGCGTACTCCCTTCAACATCAAATCCTAATTTTGGGGTTTTACCCCTATATAAGCAAAGTTATATCCTTCCTCTAGACATTTTAGGTCAGACTCCATCCCCTTTAGCATACGTTGAAACCCTAGAGTGCCTTGAGTGAGTTGTGGAGCTTGGAAGAGTGTTAATGGTGGTTTGTGTAAGAGAAGAAGAAGGTTGAAGACTTATTTCTTGGAGAGGTTCTTAGAGATCCAGTGTTAGCATCTTCATTTCGTGACTTTGGAGGTATAAAGTCCCTATCTTGACTACTCATTGTATAGATCTTCTTTTAGGTTTGTTTATGGTCACTTTAGCCTCTTTTGGTTGGTCCTTGTGAGCTAAGGTTCTTTCAGAGGCTTAATCTTGTAGATCTGGACGTTTTAGGTGTCCCAAAGGCATAAAAATATGATCTTTATGGTTTATTTGGACTCATGCATGTGTTAAGACCCTTCATTAAGATCTTTTGAGCTCTAGAGCCCCATTAATCCATGCATGCAAGTAAAGTTGCCAACTTTACGTGATAAGTCATACATAGGAATTAGATCTGAGAGTTTGGAGCAAGGACTTAAGTGGTTAAGTACATAATGGAGAAGAATGGGTTCAGGGGCGTACCCATCTGGTACGCTGTGTGTACTGCCCCCAAAGGGTATACGCTGGACGTACCAGCTGAGTATGCGGGGCGTACTCGACCTGTTTGACTTTTCTTGTTTTGTTGACTTATTGGCTATGGACCATTGACCAGAAGTTTGACTAGGGTTGACCTTTGGATATCTTGGGCCTTTTAGGATATTGGGCCTTCTCGGGCTAGGTCCATGATGGGTTTGGGCTCAATTTGGATATTTGGGCCTTATTGGGCCTTGTGGTGTCATTTAAGGGTTTGGGCTTTCGATGCTAGTGGTTTGTTCTTTGGATTTTGGCAAAGTAAGGAAAAGGGTAAAATGGACTTTTACCTTGAAGGATCAGTTATTGGACTAGAATTCTTGGTTAAATTGGAGTCAATTATTGATGAAATATTAATTGTTAATGTTAGTAGGATGTTTCCGGTAGCAACAGTTCGAGTATTCAGTTATCTTGGATTGAGGTGAGTCTTCTCACTATAATAATGGGTCGAAGGCACCAATGCCGACCCATCATCTGACATGTGGTTGATAGTGTTATAAGTTTGCTTGCATGAAGACCATGAGGGTAGCCCATAGCACTTGGATATCAGACCATGGGGATAGCCCATGACATTCCAGGTAAAGGCCATGGGGGTAGCCCATGACACATGGATATCAGACCATGGGGGTATCCCATGACATTTCAGGTAAAGACCATGGGGATAGCCCATGACACTTGGATATCAGACCATGGGGGTAGCCCATGACATTCCAGGTAAAGACCATGGGGGTAGCCCATGACAATCTTATGTATGTGGCATGGTATTTTGTGGTTTTATGTTATGTGATATTTTGGGAACTCACTAAGCTTTGTGCTTACAGTTGTTGTTTATGGTTTCAGGTACTTCCGGTTCAAAAGGGAAGAGCCCGGTTTGATCGCAACGCATACACCCATGCTTTTTCGCAACTGTGTGATTTTGGGATTGTACTCTGATAAATGTTTTTATTATAAAATACTTTTAAGTGTTTGAGTAAATGATAAATGGGTGTTTTGGGTGTTTTAAAAATGAAATTTTTACCTTCGTATTTTGGGATGTTACAAAGAGAATAAACAAAAGCTAACCTGGCATCCCAAACCTCTTTCACTTTCCAACCTCTTGCCCAACAGCTCTATCGACATCTAGCACCACGAAACACTAAGATGCCTACTTTTCTCCATTCTTCTTGAAAAAAAAAACTCATAAAAAAGGTACCAATGGTTTTATGCATAAATAATAGTTAAATATATTAAATAGAAAAAAGATATACGTACATGTTATGTCCATTAATATGCACCGTTGATATTCCATTTATTAGAAACAAGAAACTCTAAAATTGAAACTCTTTATGATTTCTACAATTTCTTAGGTACATGGGCAATCGGGGAAAAACGTTGGAAGGGCTTAAGGTAAACAAAACCTTTTTCTATCTCTTTTCCTTTAATATTGATATCAAGAATCAAATATAATTATATATGAATTCCAAACTTTGAATCAGGAAACTAATATAGGAAGGCGTGTGAATTGATTGCATAAGAATCCATCAAACGAAGTAAGAACACCGGTGAAGCACGTTATGAGGTTAGTCTTTTTGAAGATCAACAAATATGGAAATTATATCGTTGACTTATAAAATTATTAAATACCATTTTGTTGTTTTTCATTGTCACAGAAAATGGAAAGAATTGGTGGATGAGTGGGTTGGCTCATCCCACACCAATCTTTAGTGGTGTTTGGAATATTTTTGGAGGTCATTTGGATTTCGATGATCGTGCAGTAGTTGGTGATAATCCTCATTTGAAGGTATAAATACTTTAAAAAAAAATGTTAATACTTTTAGTTTTCTTGTATCTTTCAATGTTAAAATTTACATTACCTTTTTGTAATAATTTGACGTTTATGTTGTACGGATGTTGCTCCACGTCACAGGAGTTTGTAAGGAAAGATTTTAAAGAATGGTTATGTTGGCTATGGTTAGTATTTTTGTTGTTGTATCCATATAAATTCCTAGATTTTATAAGTGCTTATTTTGTTATACTTATGATTCTACAACAATCTGCTCATCTTCCCACCATCTTCTCAATCTGCTAAGGTTAAAAAACAGTTGATTTAAACCGGATAAAGAGTGAGCCCCCTTCAAATTGTGAGTTCTGATCCTTCTCTTAAATATTTTGTTGACATTGCTATAGTTGGTTAAATATTCAACATTGAAGAATTTTTTAACTTTGCCTTTAAAGTTCAAACTTTGAACCAATTATTAGCCTTTACTTTGAAATGTGAAGGTTTTGAGCATGCTACATACAATGGTTTTATCACAACTTCAAATTAATGCTCTCGATGAAGGAGTGCATGCTTTTATTGCTCATATCAAGGACTCGGATGGAAATACATGTACAAATGTCATATTGCAGATTCAGATTATGATGTTTAATTTACTATTTTCAGTGATAATGCTACAATATGTAAATTTATGAAAGTACATTCCTTTTTCTTGATTTAGCAAAAAACCTTTTGCTTTGATATACTGACCATTCGAACCCGTGCCAATGACGCGGGTGACCTTCATCTAGTTTTTGTATAAATATATAAAACATATTGTATGGTGTTTGCCAAAATATCTTTATGTTTCATTTTTCTTTTTCATTCTGTCTCAAAAACTTCTTAAAAATAAGTGAAGGTATGACCATATAATAGAAAAAGACATTGTAATTTGATGTATTTCAAAAAGTTCAAAAAATCAAATCTTAGTTTTTCTGTACTCAAAGGGCACTCTTATTTTGTATCGATTCATCAAAATATTCATCGCAAACAAGACCGAAAATCATGATGATAATTGTGAATTAAATTCAAAAATCATGTTTGACAAATTAGCCAACAAGTTAGCTAGTAATTAATAAGCTAGTTGGTAGTTGATAAACTAATTTATGAATTAATAGTGTTTGGTAAAAATATAGCTTATAAACTAAGATTACAATGTAAAATGACATAATTGGGCACTCAGATATATAACTAAAAAAATAGACACAATTAAGGGTAAATTTGAATATTTTTTAAAACGTTACGTAAGCTTATAAAAAGTACCTCAAAATATTTTATCAAAAGCTAGGTTAAAAGTTAGTTCATAAGTTAAACTAAATTATTTTTGTGGTTTTACCATACTATAAGTTATATATACTAGCTTATATTTGTTAAACAAAACGTTATGCACAATTAGGTATGTAAAAAAGATCCATAATTAATCACTGTAATATTTCTCAATTTCAAACGATCCAAAATTTCACATTTCTCAATTTCAAACAATCCAAAATTTCACAACTACAGTCATGTGTGACATCAATGGTGCAATTGACATCGAGGCCAAGATAACATAGTGCTGATGGTTATGGCAATGAAGCAACAGTGACGACAATGTTGTTTAATATGTATCTCCTCTTTTGGGTGATTTTTTTTCTTCATGTTAATGGATTTTCCGGATACTTCGTCGTATATTTAAAGCGTAAAAGTTACTTAAACTCTAATGTAGTCTTAATTTATAATTCATTTGACGATGTCGATCTTAAGTTAAGAACGAAAGTAAGGTGCTGTTTGTTTTTCTAAAAAACCAATTCTGACTATTTATTGATGCGTCACGCAACACTTGGCTATTCGCAGCTGTTTGTTTTTCAGAAGAATTCTAACTTAAAAACTATTGCACGTGTGCTGTGTGACGCAACACTAAACCATCTGCTTCAAACCTCTTCACACCTTACTTTAACTTATTGCAGCAGTATGCAGACGTTAAAAAACAAACAAACTTTTTATTACATGCTTCAGCCATTTGATCCACCTCTTCTGCTACAAAGGGTTGTAGAGGTGGTCTGCAGACTTCAGACATTTTCGCTTCGAAAAACAAACAACACCTAAATCACGAGAAGACGGAAGTGGCCAAGTGAAAATGTAAATTATGTGAAAGAAATGAAAACTAGAAAATAAAATTTAGATCTATATGGATTAGTCGTTTCCACATTATTAAGATTCAAACTAAAAAAATTATTGTATAACCGATTTTGATTTTGGATATTCCCATTATTTACCAAATAAAAAAAATCTTATATATATATAAGGCTAGTGGGTGTGGTGTAATAGAAACCATATTTTTTTCTTCACCACTCATGTCATTTTTACCATAAAAATATGATTTTTTTTGCCACACGGTAGGTATGGTGTGGTGTCACACTTTTTTTAACAACATAGTTTAAATAAAAACTTCTTACTTTAATAAAAAAAACATAACACTTCATTACTTAAAAATAAAAAAACATAATATTTCATTACTTAAAAAAAACATAACATAAAATTAAAAAAGACCTAAATACTTAGAAAATAAAAATAAATACAAATTTTAAACCTACAACCATAAAAAAACACACAACAACCGATTAAAAATAATTAGAAATTTTAAACATACTTAGCATAATGTTTTTTAATGTCGACTTTCATTGTCAAAACAATTTCAAGCTCCTCCCCGGTCATGTGCGATGTGTCCATCATTAGTACTTTAATGTAATTATCTCTTTGTTTCCGAAGCTCTTTTTCGGAAGCAATTTGCAAAAATTTGTTCATTCTTTCTTTTATACCCTTAATATCGTCGTCTATTTCTTTCAAGTCATCCGAATCTACCGCTTTGCCTTTGTATTTGCGTTTTGCTTTGTACATGCCCATTGGTCGAGAGTGTGGCTTAACTTGAACGAGTTAATCATTGTTGAGGTCGAACCCAACACTTCACCACTTTTTCCACTTTCCCATTAACGTTTCATGTTGTTATACAAATCATTAAACAACATGACTTCCTTATTTGTCTTCCCCCCATTTGGAGTACACTTGATATTTTGAACGATATTCTGGAAGCTTCATTCATTTGTGGAACCTTTTTATAACCCGCCTTAAAAAATGGTCATGTTTTTTTTATCATTTCCTTTCTTTGCATCTTCTAAAATATCTAAAATATCGATCCATGATTGTTTCTTTGGGTTCCCATCCTTTAGCCGTCACCTTTTCTTTTCTTTTACTTGGTGCTTGAGTGGGTTGGGTTTCTCGAATGATTTCGGGTTCAGATCGAAATCAGAATCAGAAATGGGTGCTTGAGTTTCTTGAACAAATCCTGGTTGAGACAAAAAATCAAACGGATTAAAATCCTTGTCGGATATGGTTTGTGGTTGTGTTTGTGTTTGTGTGGGTCGTTGTGGTTGTAGGAATTGTTATGGGAATTGGTGCGGATAATACGGTAGCATACTGCCATAGCGATAAAGCGGGGACGAATAAATTGGTTGATGGTAAGAAGGTCTTGGGTTGTTTCTAGTGGGTGTTTTTTGGTTGTTTGAATTGTTGAAAGAAGACACGTTGAAAGTTTTTGAAAAAAATATAGTGAAAAATAGAAGAATTGGATAGAAGTTTGGTAAATTAATGGTTGTAAGGTTTTATTTATAGGTAAAAATATTTAAAAAAAAATACATTTGAATTTAAAAAAATGACCTTCAATGTTGGGAAAAGACAAAACAAGAAAGAAAAAAGTGTGGCCAAGACTAGCCGCGTGCGGTGAGACTGTAGAGGAAACCGCATGATGGGCGCAGGGTTCCCCTGCCACCGTGGCAAAGATGCGGTCAAACCGCACCCACACCCTTTGGTCTAAATAAACATATCATTTTCAAGCTGAAATTCTCAACTAACCTTACTCGTTTAGCTTTCGTGTCGTGTTATGTCCACTAAATTAGTTAAACGGTTTGAAATCTCTCATCAAAACTTATTTATTTCATATCAAATTTATATATGTGTCTATTTTGTCACCTCTAAACCCTACTATATTTTAGTTATATTTTTTAAAGAATATTCAAAGTTTTTTTGATTTTCATAACCACCCTTTCATTTACTATGTTTTTTACAAATTTCTAAAATCCTTTTTTTCAAACTAACTTTAAAATTTATATTACTAAATAAATATAATATTTCCGGATATTAAAATTTTAATACGTATCATTTTTAATATACCACTATAAGTAAATAAACTCAAAATTAAAACAAATATAAAAACTAAATATATATAAATTCAAATTTAAAGGACCTGAGAAATGAAACTTAAACTATATTTATAATGGAAAACATAATGTTACGAACTAAATTTAGAATAATGATATTCATAAGTCTACAATTAGTATATATAATAAAATTAAGTTGGAGATGATTAACTCTATTAATATAGTTATATAGTTGTTTGGAAGGTACCATAAGGTGGTTACAAACAATATACACCGAGAAAAAAGAAAATTTTAGAACCATCCTAATAAAAGTCTATATCTATATCTATATTTATAAACCTAGTTATGTGACCGTTTGGTATAAACGAAAAAGAAAAAAAATAAGCAACTAGCTTTTTCAAACTGATTCCTACTAAAACGTTTCTAAAAATAATATCTTTAAACTAGTATAAATTGTCGGTTCGACTTCAAACCAGATCGGTTTCAACTAAACCAGTTTGTAAATCGCATCGAATCGGTTTTGGATTCCAAATCGGTTTATTTTGCACCTTTAATCTTATCATAATCAATTCCGTATCTTCTTCATCGATTAATATTATGGTATTTTGTATTATCGAGGGAGCAAAATTATATTATCTAATATCGTATTAGAATATTGTTTTGTTTTTTTCTTTTTAATGTTTAATGTTTTAGTTTTAGCTGGAACTAGTAAGTTAGGGGAGACCAAAATTACATAACTACAAAAATATAAAGAGTAAACCTGCAAATATACAAAAATTTTGTGGTCAAAGTATAAAACCCAAAAAGCCGAGGAGCAAAACATGACAATATACGAAAATATGCGAATCAAAGTATCAAACATGATAATATATGAAAACATTATGGCCGTTAAAATCCAAAAACTATAGAGATAAAAACAACAAATATAAAAAAATGTTGTGGCGTAAGTTTGAAACCCAAAAACTTTGGGATCAAAACTGCAAATATAAAAAGCTGTAGCTAAATTTTGAAACCCACAAATTATATTATTTATTTTTAACTAGGTATGATAT